CCCCCCTTGTTGCAGATCTGGTTCTTCGTGTTCGCATACGTGCTGCCGCTCATGGCCATCGTGGGCCTGTACCTCTTCATGCTGACGCGCCTGTGGCACGGCGTGGCGCCCGGCGGCCGCGTGTCGGCAGACAGCCGGCGCGGCAAGAAGCGCGTCACGCGCATGGTGGTCGTCGTGGTCGCCATCTTTGCCACCTGTTGGGCGCCCATACAGGTAGGCCCTATCCTCAGCAGTTCTACTGACCAGTCAGTTTAAAAAAACATCTTTGTAAATTTACAACACATTTTGTATTTACAATTTACAGAATATGTTGGAAATTTACGACATTGATTTTTTGCTTTGACAGATCATACTTTAGGATGCTATTCTTCAGGTATCTCAAGGCAGAAAATCAATGTTATGGGAAAAATTGTGCAAATTTTAGACCTGAAAACCCTTTTGGGCTCGTGCGAGAAAAACGCGTTGAGCCCGCAACAACCTGCCCTTTTGAAGGAACTAATAGCGATACTATTAGGTTGTTGTGTATGTGTTCTACATGCAATGTGTGTGTGTGTGTTTCAGGTCATTCTGGTGCTCAAAAGCATGGACCTGTACCTGATCAACCAAGTAAGCGCAGCGGGCGACACCGATAGGTTTTAGCAAATACCGGAAACTGGAAACCGGAAACCGGAACTGGACGAAACTTTGCATTTGTGACAAATATATTGACGCCTTGTATTTCCTTTGCCCTCTCCGCAGTACACGCTCGTGCTGCAGATCTTCAGCCAGGTGCTGGCCTACATGAACTCGTGCGTCAACCCCATCCTGTACGCCTTCCTGTCGGAGAACTTCCGCAAGGCCTTCTGGAAGGTGGTGTCGTGCGGCACGCCGCAGCAGCTGCCCGAGCAGCGCAACGGCCGCCTGCTGGCCGAGAAGTCGACGCGCACCACGGCCACCACGACGCGCGCCAACGGCTCCAGCCTCGACATCTTGTGAGGGTCGGCCCCGGCCGGGGCGCAGCTGGCGCAGCAGCACCACGCCCCCGGCAACGGCGCCCACATCACCGCCGAGGACTTTGTGTAGGCAGGCAGGAGGACCTTGAGCGGCGCGCGCGCGCCCCCACCTCGTGGACCTCGCCCCGCCGCGCCGCCCCGCCGCCCCGCCGCGCCGCGCCCCGCCGTGCGGTGTCCTTCGTGAGCCCCCGGACCGTCGCCCGGCCCCAGGACCCCCACGGGGGTCGCATCCCCCCGCGGGTCCTCGGCCGGCGCGGCGCCCGCTGAAGGGACCGCCCCGCGGTGGCGGCGCCGCGGAGGGGTCTATAGTAGCGCGAAGGGCGCGCGCCCACGACCGTCCAGCAGCTCAGTTTTGAAAAAGAAGAATAATAATCCTGCCTTTGTGCACGCTCCGGCCGCGCCGCCGAGGCGCCCGCGCGAGAGTGGGCAAAAGCCCGACTACTTGTGGTTGTGGCGCGGGCTGGGCGGCGGTGGCGATGGCGCCCCCCGGGATATACACACAGCGCTGCTGTCTTTCCTCCTCATTCTTCCGACTTTCATTTAGGCCCTGCCGATAGCCAGCCCGGCCGCCTTTGTCTCGTGACGGCGCGGGGCCGGCCGGGCCGGGCGACATTAACCGTGCCGGTGGCCTAGTGAGGGCGCCGCCTTTCATTCCGCCAGAGGGCCAAAAAAATATATGAAAGTAGGACGGAATAAGACGGGGATGGGAAAGAAAAAAAAATATACCGGGAGAAGTTTGGGTCTCTGCCGAGGCTTGTTGTGATGATGATAATGAGGCTGTCGCTGATATCGGCCCCAGACGCCACCAGAGAGGAGGAAAGACGAGTAGAAATTAGAGAGAGAAAAAAGTGAATTGTTCGCTCCATTGTGTCGTTATTGTGTCTAATACGCCGTATCGGTTTTGGATAGATGATATCTCTCACACACACCCTCATTTCTCTACTACTTATTTTTGTACCATAAAAATGTGTAATATATGTGTAATTATTAGATCGCTATGTAATACCGTTTTTTCTTAACGTCGTAAGTCTATTTTTGTATGTGGGTCGATCAGTCGGGCAGGAGCAGCGCGCGTCTCCTGCCGTTATGATATTTTCCCTCCCGTCCGACGCGTGCCGGGCCACGTGTGTGCGGGAGGGAGCAGCGGGGCTCGGGCCCCGAGGAGCGGCGGTGCGAAGGTAGATGTAAGATAATTATTGTAAATACGGGGGGGCGCCTGGGGTCCGGGCGGCGCCACCCGGCGCCACGCCGCCCCAGCGCCGCACACAGGCGGCGGGGCGGGCCGAG